AACCACGGCGACTACACAATGTTTATCAGGGTGGCATATGTCTGTAGCTGTAGCTTAGTATTTTAGTATTAGTGGATATAAATATTCGGGGACGACAGTAGCGTCGGATGCAGGTGTTTGCCGCTTCAAGCCCCACTTCCGGCTTTCAGTGTCGTTGTGTGTAAATGACATATGTAAAGATTCAAACATTTTCCTGTTTGTTTTGCTAGATTATACAAATATCTTCTGTTAAGGTGAAAGCTTACAGGAGCTCCTGGAAGGTAGAGGTGAATAAGCTGAAAACAAACCCAACATTTCTTTACATCTAGAGAAAACAAAGACAGACATCAGGATAATTCGTTAGGCTGGCTAACATCATTCAAACCTCACAGCTAATGTATAAAGGTGGATATAAACAGTTACCAGTCAGCATGCAAAAACTATTTGTTGAGAGAGACGGAGGGTATAATTACAGGGGTAATCTGTAATTCAAAATATTACATGCTCAAACAAACAGGAAAAAAATAGCCTTTCCCTTAATGGTCTACTGCTTGGAAATAGCTTTAAATCAACACTGAGGTTTTTTCTTTCTCTAGAGTTTCACACCATTTATTGAAATACACAAACTGTTTTGTTTAAAAGATATGAGGTAGAAGGTCGGTAAGCACTGATGGGAGCTCTTTGTCACTGTAGATGGTTGTATACAGATTTTTGCAATAACTTTCATGCGTGAATGTTTACCTGTTGATATGTACATAAACTGATTTTCTCACCTAATGGACTTCTTGGTAGTATGAACTTATTCATGGCAAAAATGATCTAGAAATAAGAAAAGATTTCTTCAACTAAGTGTTGTTAATCTTGAATTGAGTGGGCAAATAAGATTTCCAATCAATTGAGTATTTTCAAACTTAAAATAAGATAATTAGATAATATGTTCTTGAAATAAGACAATGCACTTATTTTTTCTTATTTTAAATGTAAATTATGTTTTTCCATTGTCAAAGTGTCTCACTTACCTCCTCAATTCAAGAAAAAATTAACTATAGTTTCACTTTGTACCCCTTTTTTTACTAAATGATTACATATAATATGATTACATATATCAATAATTATGCATACCATTTGTGTGTGTTAAAGTTGTAAATTGACCGGATTTTCTGAAGTAGAGTTATTCATTCAGTTGCTGCCCGATACAGCTGCCACTTCTTTTAAGATGTCCGTTTAAAGTCTCAGAACCTCACCAGCTCAGTTATGGTTTGCATCCAAATGATTTGTTACAAATATTATAGTCATAAAGATGCGTTAATATTTGGAAATCAAAGCAGCAGACACACAATTATTTATATAGTAATTTATTAATTTTGGCGGATGTTTTCTGAAGGGGCAATGTACAGCTTTTACCAGAGCCAGAGTACAATACTTTATAATTCTACAACATTTACATTTGCGGTTGGGTTTTCTACATCAAACGACAGGTGAGCCGTGAAAAGAGGAACACAGAGTGAAAGTGGTTCAACAGCGGCACTGGAGACGAGGCAAAGTAACTCAGAAGCCAATAGAAAACTTTAAATACAGAGCGTGGTGACAGCTCGTGGACTGACCTGTGCCCAAATACCGTCAAAGCAAAGGCATTAAAAATAGTCTTTCACTTCAATATCGATAACCAATCAGAACAGAGAGAAGCAGACGGAGTAATAGAAGCGAAACTGGGGTTTTGTCCACATGTGAAGCAAAAAGCTACATTTTCACGCCTTCATTTTCCACAACAGTCTCCTGGGATAGAATAAGGGATAAAATATACAAATCTGAGATTAAATTAAGAGTACAAGATCAATCCATCAACAACAATGGGTTCAATATGTAGAGAAAAAACAAATATTTAACAGATTAGCAGTGAAGTTTCTAAGAGATGTGAGTGGAACTCCTGAAGATCTGCTTCTTGTTCTTTAAATCCACCTTAAAGAACAAATCTTGTAACCTGAGTTACATTTTTAGGGGGGTGGGGGGTATGTTTTTGCTCTGCACTGATAAAATATATGAAAGCAAATAAAACAAACCAAAAAAACAACTAAAATAGATGTGTTGGATTTGAAAAGGTGTTCATCAATAAATTATACTGCCACCTTCAAATAATAAATAAATGAATTTATAAATAAACAAGCAGGCAAGCAAGACATCAACACTTTTTTTTTTTCAAATCCTCCAGTGTTTTTTTTTTTTTGTTGATTTTGTTTTTACCAGTATAAATTTGTCTGGTAATCCAGTCTCTGATATTTGAAAAATATTCTGATAAGTCCTTGACTGTACTGTGCTCCCCATGGTTCTGGTTCTGCAATTCTTCCTGCGGCAACGGGCCACCAAAACTTGCCTTAAACGTATCCGGCTGGTAAAATAAAGAGTGTCCGTCCTAAAGTCCTTCTGTCCACACACATACAGGAAGTCAAACTCTTCACACGATTTCTTGGTTTACTCTCTGCATTGAAAAAATACATTTTTAAGACTTAAAATTCTTTTACTCTGTATTTTCTTCTTTTTCCACCTCTCAAAGCTTTTTTTATGTGCTTAAGGTCTCCAGGATAGTGTCCTGTGAAAGGCCCATTTTAGAGAGGGGTTCTATCATGAGATTAAAAAGAACCAAAACTGAGGGACATTCATGCCTCAGGGCTAAAGCACAGTGGCATTGTGGCCCTCCATCCTGGGCAGCCTTGTGTCCTGCACTGTCCCCATGGTAACGAGCAGTGGCCGGCTGTCCTCAGACATGCCTGTGCGGCCCAGGGTCATCGAAGTTGGCATGGGGGCCCCTCTCTGGTGGCCTGCAGAGGATGGTACAGAGGTGCCTTGCTGGGGTAGAGGGGGGTTGCTGTCCAGTGGCAGGCTTGGTTCCTGGTAGCCATATCCAATGTTCCCACAGGGGAACCTTCTCAGTCGGTACAGGGGGACTGGGGGCAAGGCTGTTGAATCTAGGAGCAGAGGTGACTGGGCAGCAGGAGGGGGTGGGGGAGGCAGCAGCGGCCTGCAGAGACCCTGCTGCTGCTGCTGCTGTTGATGGTGCAGCAGCTGTAGTTGGTGTTGCTGCTGCAGGTGATGCTGAAACTGCTTGTGCTGGTGCTGGAGACCCAGTGAGCCCGCCACTTCGGCCACTGTCCGGCCCACGTGCTCCTGCCCCTCGCCGGGCACCCTGCCCACGCTGCCCCCAGGCCCTCCCACCCCTCCCTGCCTCTGCTGCTGCTTCCTTTGCTGCTGCAGGAACCAGGAGCCGTAGGTGGGATTCCACAGACTGGTGTTTTTTCCACCGTGGGCGTCCTTCTCCTGTTGGTGACCCTGGGTGAAAGCCAGGTTAATGTGCCCCCCCTCTGAGCTTGGCTGGGCTGTAGCATGAGGTCCCTTGGCAGTGAGAGACGACGGAGCTGCAGCGGCGACTGAGTTAGTTGTCGTCACAGAGGTCTGCATTTGAGGCTGGTGAATGCAAGCCTGAGACGGAACAGATGCCTGCACTTTAGCCTGCGGTGGTGCCCCGGGTAAAGCCGTATGCTCCCCTCCTCTCCGGTCCTCTGCTGGGTAGGATGGGGGCTGCTGCTGTTGCAAAGGTTCTCCATCAGGCACCTGTGCATTCAGCAGAACCGGGGGTTCCTCGGGGTGCGTTGCAGCTTGCTCCTCCTCCTCAGGAATGGGCCCATACTCAATAGGCAGAGTCATGGTCACAACATCAGGGTCCTGAAATGAGTCGATAAAAATCCTGTTTAAATTGTTCATTTATTGGCAGTTTATACTATACAACATAGGGAGCTTGGATTCATTAACATTCATCGAACTCTCAGATGGGTGATGCATACAGAAACTCTGGCAGTGAATATTGGCATATGTTCCTAAAACTGAGTTAATGGGCTGAATTATTGAGATATTTTTGGCTGACGATCCATATTTAATATCAAGCGACTCTGTAACTGTGACAGTCACTGTGTTGCCAAAAATATTTGCTCATCTGGCTTCAAACACCCACCAATGGTAGCTATAATGGCTGCAACTCTTCTATGATGGGTTTCCACAAACATTAGAAGGGTTTGACAATTTTAGGCCATTCTTCAGCTCCTGTGTTGGACTGTTTCATGCCCAAGGTTTTTGGTTTTTCTAAGGTCAGAAATATCAAATTCTACTACTCCAAAGTCACCATCCATCTCTCAAGAACTTTGCTTTATGAAATAATGGGCAGTTTGAAGAAGAGGCCGTCCTCAGTGTCTTTATGTGCTAAAGCTTTAGCAGTTCCTTCACTTGAACGAAGCAACCGAGACTCGTCCATCAGATTATCAGAGAGACAAATAATTTATCCCACCAGAAATCACCTCTTTACTGGATCTCACACTTTGCGTTACCATAGAAACCCATTCTATGAGGCTTCCAGATGTTCTGAAGGCCACATGATGTTTGGAGAGCTGTAGCTTTTGGTGAACTCTGCGCCTCAGCATCCACTATCCACAGTCTGTTATTTTACACAGCCTACCTGTTTGAGACTGAGTTGCTTTGGTTCTTAAACTCCTTACCCCTCTCCATTATATTTCACAGCTGACTATGAAATATATAGTAGCAATAAAATTTCATGACTGAACTCATTGTGCAGACTGCCTCCTATCACAACACCAGCCGGGAACACACTGAGCTTTTACAAATGTTTGTAGAATTCCTCGGCACGCTGAGCCTGCTGAATTCTATACAGCTGTAGTCCTGGAAGTGATGAACACATGATAAATCGATTGGAGTTTCATTAGAAATGGGGTTTTAGGAATTAAATTAACAGTTTCCTTACATGCAAAGGGAAACACTTTGAGTTTTTATTATTATTTATTACTAGAAATCTGAAAATGTTCTCTAATAATGATCTAAGAATAATTTTAGTAATAATCTTAGGAAAGACTGCTGATCTGACAGTTGTTTAGCAGACAGTCCTTGCCTCCCTTTATAAAGACAAACCACAAAAGGCATTTTTTAAGCAATGGCTGCTGTTTCCAATTGGAAATAAAGTGGAAGGAAAAGGTTCACAGGCAACAGTCCTGAAGCAGAGTTGACATCAGAACTGTTTTACCTGATCTAAGAAAAAAATAAACGAGTTAGCCTTTTCTTAAGGTGTTCAATGCACTCTCTTAAATGAAAGTAGGTTTAACATTTAATTTGGAAATCAAAAATCTATGGAAAGAGTAGTGAGCCTAAATCCAATTTGGCTGAGGTAGGTTTCCAGAAGGCAGTGGATTTGGAGCCATATAATCTGTTGTTGTTGTTCCACTGTTTTTGCCCACACTGCAAAAAGTATGTTAATTGCTTTAATAAACGTTATATTACTGTGTTTATCTGACCAGCAGCCCGCTGTTCAGTTATGCTTTATGCAGATAATGATCGAAGTGAAAATGAGACATGTGGACAAAACTACTGCAGATTTTATACTCCATGCTTTTCCTCTTCTATCTAATATTCTGTCCGATTCTAGGTGGGTGTGCAGACTGCAGGCCTACAGCTCCACACAATATGTAGAAGCAGAAAACACAGCTGTTCCCAACATTTCAAAGCCTCTTCCCGCCAACCAAGAGAGACGGTCATTTCTTTCTAAGGGTTTTTTTTTTTATAATATGTGGATTGTAGTGTTATTTATGGGCTAAATCATAAAATACTTTTATATTTTTATAATTGCAAACCTATGACCTATTACTAATCCAGCGGCATTAGACTTAGGTGCAACCCAATCTCTGATTAAGTGCTTAAATGACATAATTTTCACTGCCAGACATATCGGGCTTAAAGAAGGCTGTAAGAGGAATCAGACTCAACAATTCTTGCCGACCTGTGCTGACCACATTAAAACCACATACTGATCTGCTTTGGTGAAGTAATTCATGGCAAACGAGCCCCAACCAGTCACTGACTCCATATTTAGCACAGTAGAGGGATGTACATTTTGTGATTAAAAACAGTTTTCCATAAAAAAACAAAAATTTAGTTGAGGGTTTTTCTTGCCTGTATGCCAAATATATTTAACTCTAATGGAAATAACAGCTTAAAAGTATGTAACACTGTTTTCAGTATAAAATTTATTGAATAGATTTTTATCATATTTAGTTTTACTAACGTGTGCATGTATGAGGTGATCACATAAACCCATCAAACACACAAGGAGAAGCAGAAGAACAAAATATAGATTTTTGTCATGAGTAAGCTCATTTATCACAGCTAAGAACAGGTTTGCAAACTCTTTATTCTACTTTGTATAACCAATTGAATAATTGAATGATTTGCTTCACCTGTAAGCAGTAGTCAAGTCTCTCCAGAATAGTAGAGAAGTTCGGTCTATCTTCAGGCTGATGCTGCCAGCTCTGGGTCATAATCCGGTACCTAAAACATAGAGCAGGAATTACTTAATTAATCAACCCCTCTGCGGAGCTCCAGAGAACAGAAACTCTCTAGCTTCATTTATTCGGTTCATTTAACAAAACACACAGGGATAACAGCGATTGAAGGAAAAAACTGTTTCTATTTAATTTTTCCTTTATTTCCTTCAAAGGACCTGCTACAAAAAGCTACCATGGTCAGGTCAGATGAGTTCATTTAAAATAAGTCAATCATCGAAAGAGCTCGGAACTACTACTTAATAAGATTGTTTATAATACATATACATACAAATATTTTCGAATGAGAGTTCATCTACTAGTCAAACACAGAGTATCGTAGACCCCTAAATAAAGTGCAGTCCAATCGATTGCTGTCAGAGGACACCAGATGAACAAGTCGAATGGACGAAACTGGCAGGAAGGAACAAACTATTCAGGTCAGGGATGAGGTGAGATGTTTAAAGCGAGGTGACGTTACAAAAACATAGAAACTTTGTTCAGTCTGTGAACTAAATGTGAAAGAGGATGGACCAACTGAAAAGACAAGAAGTTGTTATTTTGGACAAGATGCGCATTAATATGAAAAGGAGCCAACAGTTTCTTAGTAACTCTGGAGGAGCAGAAGAGATCAACAGCTCAAGGGGAGGCCAAATAGCGGTGGAAAATAAGTTTGTAGGTGGTGCAGCTAAATAATCCTGGAAGGAAACCTGTGAAAGGCAGCTAAAGTCTTCAGGATGAGAATATTAAACATAAAGCGAGAGCTAAACAGTTTAGATTGAGGCACCTTTATGTGTTAGAATGGTCCAGTCAAAAAACAGAGCTAAACCTAAAAGCTTATCAGTGACCAGACCTGAACATTTATATTCACAGATTCCACTCAACATCCAAACCTTTCAGGTTTTCTTCTACTTCGCAATCCTTCAGAATGTCAGAAACAGGTGCTAAATGTGAAAAGTTCAGGGTATATAAATACTTTTATAATGTACAGGGGAGGGAAATTAAAGCAACTTACACTCTGGGTGCTGCAGTAAGTATGGAGGATGGCAGGATGGGCTAAACTAGTCTGCAAAGGTTTTAAAACTCAGGTCGAAATGGTATTTATATTAATTTTTAATTTATACCTCTCTCTCTATTTTTGTATGTTATTGAATTGGAGTTTATATTTCTGTGTTTGATCCCTAAAAAAAGGTCCGTATCATGTATAAAGCCTAATGAAATGATGAAGAAGCAGCGTAATGGACTTACACTGGCCCAGGACAGTTTTTAGGCGGGTCCATTCTCCCACCATTGGTAACAAACTCCAAGACTTCCTGGTTGCTGCGACTTGGATATGGCATGTAGCCCAAAGAGAAGATCTCCCACAGCAGCACACCAAATGACCTGTGATGGATGAAATGATTTACCCTTAAATTACAGACAGATCAAAACTGAAAGGATGAAAAACATCAGATATACAGGAGATGAGCTAAAGGCAAATTTAGTTACAATTGAGCATGAAACTCACCATGTGTCCGTTTTAGAAGTGAAGATGCCCTCCATGAAGGCCTCAGGTGGCATCCATTTCACTGGTAACATGGCTCGTCCACCCTTTCTGTAATAGCTCGCCCTGCACAAAGAAATATTTTGAAAGGAACATGCAGATTTTAGTTAAAACGGTGGCAGCCATGGCCTTTCTTTGTGGGATTTGGATCACCAGAAAGGAAATTCTACGGCCGGTGTTAGAATAAATCAACCACCACTGAAAGATTGGTTTAATGGCAAAATTAGTTATTGTTCAGATCTGCACAATAATTGGATTGATAATTATTAAATACCTCAGCCAGTTACCACTTCAGTTTTAAAATTATTCAACCCGCTGAATAAAACCCGGCATGTTCTCCACAAACTAATCAACCGATTTTATTTACTGCTTAAGATTAAACACCACAAACACCAGACTGTCGATACTGATACTGTTTCCTAGATAATGTGTTAGGCATGTTAAGGCAGAGGCATCTAAAAGTTGCACGAACCTCAAGGACTAGAGTTTGAGACCACTGGCCTGCATCAAGAGATTAACCACTAAAGACCCCAAACCACCAGTAAACCAGGGAAAGAGAGATAGGAATTTGGGATTATGGGAGAGTGGCATGTCTGGAGTGAAAGGAATAACTAGAATGAAGCATGGTGGTGGCTTAGTGATGCTCTTGTCTAATCTGCCCTTTCTAGCAATGAAAATAGCCTGCTGTCTGTGAGGAAGCTGAAGTTTAGCTATCTAGAAATACTAGAGTGGCCATCAGTGCTGCCTGAATAATTCTCCTGAAAGCCGGCATCATATAAACCCCAAAATATCAATTAGCTGGAAGGATTTGGTCATGAGATAAAGGCTAAGATCCCTCAGGAATGTTGGATATAATTAATGACAACAAAATGCTGCTCTGTTATTTAGTAATATGCTTATCACGGATGAGTTAAAAAGGTTTAACGTCGATTAAGTCATTTAAAAGTGATTTTCTGTGTTAATTTAATCTGCAGTAATTTGAGTAACACCACCACTAGTCATTAAAGTTTTAACAGATTGTATTTTCTATGTTTTGTCAAAAACCTAATTTATGACCTTGATTAATGTGAAAAACTCAGCAAGAACTTCTTTGGAATAGAAAAAAAAAGTCAGGTTATCTCCCCGCGAGCCGCTTCTAATTCATCGCACGGCTGAAGAAATGATCTGATCAAGGCTATATCTGATTTTTGATGCTTATCGAGGTCTCCGCCTGCTTTATAGCGCAGAGCGAGCACAGATGTGAGGGGCTGCCACTCCGTGCCCAAGAAAAAAAATAAATAAAAGGGAACGCCTGAGGATTTATGGTCTGTAGTGTCGCAGCTGGCTTTGTTTGGCATCTTTTGCTTTTGCAGAGCAGTAAATCAATTTGGCATTTAATTTTGCCATAAAAATGTCAATTTGCTCCCCAAACACTGCTCCATAAACACAGAAAAGCTCTTGATGAGAAATGAGACAACGAGGGCTGGGCGTCTGCCAGCTGTAGTCTATGAGATTTTGGATGGGTAAAGGAGCTGCAGGAGCATTTTCATCCTGGGGAAAAGTAAAGCTCTGCCATTACATCTCACAGCTGACCACAACTGATTTGTTATTACAGCAGGAAGCTCCCAGGTGTTAACGTGACACAACATGAGCTAAGAACTGGATTAAACTTTTAAAGGAGGAAAAAAAACTTTATTCATGAAATGATTAAGTGAGAAGCAATAGAAGCTGGAATAAATCCTCTGAGAAGCTAATGTGAAAATCAGATTTCATGTCCCATTATTGATCAAAGCAGTTCAAGTTCAACTTTGAATTTATTCTGCATTCAATTTGATGCACACATTTCAAAATATACACACAGCCTAAAGTATATCAATATAAGACCATTAAAAACTGCCTTGTTTGATATTTTTTGCAGAATTGGTAAAATCTATTTAAAATCAGTTAAAAAACGTCTTGCTCTCAAGAAGAAAGCAAGATGGCTACAACCAGTACTCGAGTTGAGGGGGATGGCATCCCTCTTCTTAAAAATATCTTAAAAATCACCCCCCCTTCAAAAATGACCCTCCGCCCATACCATCCTCTGTTTATTACTGAATGTTTAAAATGTCTACTATATATTCAATTTAATTTATCCTATATCATTACTTTTAGGTATGGCAAATTATTATGCACCTTCATTTTATGATGTCTGGCTTTAAATGTTTATTTTGCTGAAAGTAGCTAAAAAGTAATGAGTAATTTATTACTTTACACAGATGGTAATAATGCAAAGAAACTAACAAGGGTAACTTGTTATATGAAATATAAAATAGAATAGAAAATCCCTTTATTGTCCCACAACAGGGAAATTCGGATGTTTACAGCCACAAAAAATTCACACAAATACGTACCTTAGAAAAATGAATAAGAATTACATATTATTGAAGAGTTAAAAGATAAACAATAAAATATTGTACTGTAAAGTGTTTTAACAATGTAAAAAAAAAACTCTGCACCTGGAGGATAAATAACCAATATACAGCTATGGACATTTTATTTATGGACAATTATATTACATTTACTGTGTGTAGACTGATTACTGACAGACTGATGCTTTAAAGGGTAGATTGTTCCAACATTTATTCAGAAGTCTCGGCCGTCGGCACAGCTTTACCAAGTTTAGGATTAACCCAAAGACCTTCTCTCTACTCCCATCTACCATCCAGCAACTGTCAAATAAAGACCACCATTGCAGAAAACAGTGTTAAACGTTACAATTTGATACAGAAACATCCTAATATAAAAATGTATATTTGCTTCAAGATGCTTATCTTAAAAAATTACTTTTTATCTGACAACAATGCCAAATTTACCAAACAGGGCCGTAAACATATGCATAATGTATAATAGAAGGCTCGTGTGTGAGCACATGGCATTTAAAAATGAATAAAAATCTTATGATTAACATGGTTGGATTCTTGGGGGTTCAGGTCTAAACGAGAGTCAAAGCTGTTTTCACCTCAGGAAAAACACTTTACTGGATGCGTTGAAAAATCACACATCTAATTAAATCCAAATGTTAAACTCAGTGTTTGCAGGGGGCTTAATAAGACATGCAGTATTCATGCAATATGTTCAATCTGAAGCTGAGCAACGGCCCTGGAAATGAAATAAAAACAGTTTCATTTGTATCCAACCTGCTTTTAGTCCATAGTGACCCTAACCTAGCTTCATTACAATATCATGCTTAGAATTTAAAGTCAACTGTTGGTCTTCAGAAGATCAATAAGAAGAAATAAGTGTAGATGACATGAAGTCTGCTAATAGAGTAAAAAAGGGAAGCACACAGTTATACCATCAGCTGTGGAGAATCACCCAATCAAGCAGAGAAGACAATCACTAACAGATTCTGTTTGCTTGACAGAGTATCTGAAAGCTCCTTCTGGGCACTTATTCACCCAGCTCCTTAATCTTTCACTTATAGTAAAATGTCCCCGACAGTAATGAGAAATGGTTCAAAGCAGCATGTTTAGCCTCACAACTACAGAACGGGAAGCAGCTACCATCTTGTTTTCATGTCTCTTTGGGCTCCTCTAATTTCAGCGTCCATCAGTACAAAAGAATAACAAAGAAGCTTCAAACAAACACATACAGTCATCCCGATATGTTAATGTGGCCTTTTCAATGTCTTCTTTTAGAAGAAGAGTGAAAATAACAAGGTTGCTGCTGAACATCGATCTCTGCAGCTTATTGCTTTATCTGTTCTAGAGAACGGTTAAATGTTTTGATGGAGGCTGTTTCACTGAGCTTGAGAGCCTGTTCACTATCAACAGAGTTAAAAAGTGAGCAGCAGATTAGGGTGGATTAAATATAGTCTCAGGCAACCTAAAGTTCAACCAGAAGCATTTTATACTTGTGTGTTACTGTTGGTGTAACTCTGAAGCTGGAGGATAAAGATGCATCCGGCTTAAAACGCTGTGGGAGGTAAAGGCAGGCTGGACAGAAATGATAAGGTGGCAAACACCTGTAGCTCTAAAACTCCAGCCTGCTTCTCTGCCGTCAGACAGATAATGATGTACATGATCAACACCTACATGCTTGTCAAAAGGAAAACAAACCCTGTTTACATTCTAATGTTTTTTTCTGAGAGTTGTGAACCATCTAGTCTTTATATGATTTAAATCTTACGTCAAACATCAAAAAGCTAACCAACAGAACCAAGTGTTTGCCTTAAAATGGAAAAAGTGAGAAGGAAATAATTAGGCACATCCCTTTAAAACAGCTGCCTAAAAAACCGTCTTTCCAGTCATTTGTATTTTCTCTGTAATTGTTTTGGAGGATCTTTGACCCTCTTCTCTTCCTCCAATATAGCTTCATCACTTTCATGTCTCTCAGTTGACCAGAATCTACTCAAACACTCAAATAGTTCAAGGTTTATGACTGCAGGGTGCACAGGCCATGCAACTACTAATGAAATCTAAACCATCATCCTTCCACCTCCGTACTTAAGGTTCTGTGCTAATATACTGTGTTTGGGTTCCTCTCCATCAGACTTTACAACGTTGTTGGCTTTACAACATGTTGACGGTTCATTTCCTCTAAAAGATGAATTGCTGTTACTCATCACTGCGTTTATATCTGTAACATCCTGCAGGGAGCTTTACGCTGGTCCAAATTCCTGTTTTATCCCTCTGTGTAGATCCTCTGTTGACTGTTGCGTACTGCTGCAGACAGAGTTTGCAGGCCGCATCCTGACGGGTTCTAAATTGGGGGAGAACTAGAGCCTGAGTAACTAATTAATTACCAAAGATTTCTGTTTCGCATTACTCTGAGAACTCTCTCTTATTATAACAGCACCGGGTTCAGAGAAACACAACTAAATATTCACACCTAAAATCTTATATAATCTAATGGGAGGCTTGATGGTTTATTAAAGTAAATCTGAAATTTTAAGTCACAAATCCTAGATGAAAGGTCACATCTGAGGTAAAGTCAGCTTGTTTGCAGAGTTGGTATTTTGCATTGGTGCCAGTACACCCATGCCTCCATCTCTCAGTGTGCTACTTGTCCCCAGCCATTACCTAGGAAACAGTTTACTGTGTCTCCTGGCAGAAAGCTGTAGGACCACATCACCAATTGGCTAAAAATAATAATATCACAGTTAATTTGTCCAAAATGATCAAATCAAGGATCCTTAAGGTGTTAGAGTCACCAGGAAGATGACCTGAACCTGGACTCATCAGTAATTACACCAAGCCCTCTTAATGCCTCTCCTCAGGCTTGCTGTATTTGCTTTATTTGATAGAAAGGTGACTTCTCCTTAAGAAGATTTAGAAATTGGACGTTAATGCGCCGACAGATTCCCTCTGCACACATTTCAGGAACTCCCTGCTGCTTTCGGCTTTCATCTAAACTTCATCATGTAAAGTTGTTTGTTTCAATTTCAGAATAATTAGATGCTGTTAGACGACAGAGGAGCTGATGGGATGGGTGGGATGAAAAACACTACTGAGCATTTACAAGTAAATGTTTACTGGAGAGAAAATCCACACTAAGAAAAACTTAGATGCTGTTTATTAGATTTAGGTTTTTTAATTCCAGTAAACTTCACTGGGGTTATTAGTAATAAAATTATCACATACACATTAAACAGTGTTAAAATAAGACACATTTTATACTAAATGTTAATTAGAAACCACTTATTGAATGTAGAGATGTTGTTTTTCACCCACAAAAACACAGTTTCTAATGTCAATAATCAAACCATTGGTGTGTCGACACATCACAGCAGGGTCTTACTGTCCTTATTCTAAAAGTGCTATGTTACTTGTATTTAGCGGTTTAACAGTTTCTGTGAATGCATTTCACAACTGGAGCAAAACTAGCAATGA